CACACCCAGCTGATTTTTTTATTTATTGTAGAGATGAGGTCTCGCTGCTCAGGCGGGTCATTTTCTAATTTGAAGAGAGCAGGCCAGTGTCTCACAGAATGTTCCCTCTCTGGATCTGATTGTTTCTGCATCCCTTCTGTTTCCTGTAAGTGAGAAATGCGGTCTACAGCCTTGATTTGACTCAGCCTTGTTTTGGGAAGAGTATCTCCTATTGAGACTGTGCCTACCACATACCCACCAGAAACAGATGGTTGGAGCCCCCTGTTTGTGTTTCCGACTTTGGTCGTGGCACTGGCTTTTGCCATTGTGAAGAATCTCTTTCCCCTTGGTCCCTGGCCTGCAGTCTATAGAGGAGAGCTTGTCTCTGTGAACATCCTGTCCCCAGCACCTCTCCCAGTCACGGGCCACCTCTTTGTGGGTTATTCGGGTGACTGCCAAGGGCAGCTTTGGCTGAGTCCATCCTTCTGCTTCCTTGCTGTCCTCTTCTGAAGAGCAGTGTCGTGTCAGCGGGCATCAGCCCAGGTCCTCCTGAAAAGGTGGGAGGATGCTTCATGTTTTCCCTTCAGTGCCAAGCAGAGCCAGAGCAAGTGAGTCTCAGTCCCCACGCCACCCCGGCGGTGGGAGGAGGAGCCCATGGATTCAGAATGTTTAGTGAACTCAGTCTGCTAAAAGACACTCCCGTTATTGCTGTTTCTCACGTTTAGGTCGTCCCACGCCTGGCCATGAAGTCCCTCTGACCTGGCTCCGTGGCTTGGTCTCTCTGGGAACAGCCATCTTTTCTGGAGCAAGCTCATGACCAGGCCGCCCTGTGCGTCCCTCTCCCCAGACCGGAGTTCGCCACATCGAGCCATTGGGCTTTTAGAAGCGCCTGGCCTGTCGGCGCACTTCCTTTTCCTCGCCCCTCTCATCTGCTCAGTCCTTTGTTTAATTAAAATGCGAGAACCTGAGGCCAGTGTCATGGGAGCGCTGCCTGCACCCCGGCCCACCACACGCCCTCTTCTCAGCACAGACCCCCGTGCCTTGGCCTTCACCCACCCACAGCCACTCTCTCCCCACGCAGAGCTAAAGCGTGGCTGGCCTCTTGGCTCGTGTGGATGAGGGCTTTTCCGTCTTCATCTCGAGATTCTGCTCCAAAGCATTCAGAAAATTCGAATACGTCTGCCTCAGGGAAGATGCCTGAGAACCGAGGCTGAAGGGCCCTGACGAGAAGTCGGGGGCCTTCTGGGTCCCGCCATCCCCAGCTGCTGCCCCCTCTCAGATTCATGGCGGGGTGGCTGGGGAAGGCCATGGGCCCCTCCAGGGTTCCGCCTGTTGGCACGCTCCACCCCATAGCCCGCGGAGTGACCGTCAGCACCAGGGCACCTCTGCCGCCGCTGTTGCAGTGAGCGCGGTCCCGCAGGCGCCGACGTGGGTCAGTTCCTGCAGGAGACAGGTGGTAGCTTCCCCCACCACCTCGTGTCATGGCTGGTTTCCCTTCAGCATCCCTGCTGCCCGCTTGGTCTCTGAATCTCTTCACCCTCCAGCCCGCCCCATGTCCTGGCTGGTGCCAGTCCCTCTCTGCTCTTAGAGTCCGTCTTTGCCGCAGTCTGTATTGGTGCTTTATAAGCATATGCCTTTGCTTCTGCTGGTCCTTGTACTCAGTTCTTCCTTAATCTCTCAAGGGACAAATCCTTTTCTATCACAAATGTGGGCCATGTACTCTGAATAATACTGAAAATCACCAGCGTGGCTAACATGGTGAGATCTTGACTCTACAAAAAATATAAAAATTAGCTGGGCATGGTGGTGCACACCTGTAGTCCCAGCTCCTTGGGAGGCTAAGGTCGGAGGATTGCTTGAGCCCAGGAGTTTGAGGCTGCCGTGAGCTAGGATCACACCGCTGCACTCCAGGTTGAGAGGCAGAGTGAGACCCTGGCTCAAAAAGAAAGTCAGCTGGTTTACATATCTGCCATCTAGCTGTGGTCCTTAAGTACTCATTTATCATCTTAGCAGGTGCACGTTGGAAGAACTTTATGTACATCTGTCAGAGCACACATTCTGAGGGCCTGTCTCTGGTGACTGTGACTCGGTGAACCTCTACTGCAGTCTAAGAAACTTAAGTCCCTGGGCAGTGCCAGTGACCATTCAGCTTGGGGGCCAGCGATCTAGACCCTGAACAGGAGTCCCCTTCGTACGTTGCCAGCAGGCGGCATCAGCCTCTGGACTCTGGGCCTTCAGAGAGGCCAGCGTACCAGGACAGCTCTCGAGAGACAGGACCCTCACTCTGAACCCGGGGTGACCTCCTTGGCTGCACAGGCTGGGCCTGGTGGGGTCCCTTTTGCCCAGGGACTGCGGTGCAGCCGGTGGGGCACACAGCCCCCCCACGTGCCTCAGGGCCCCTCGTGCGCGTCTCCTGAGAACCACGTCCTGAGAACCACGTCCGTGCCTCGCCTGGGAGGGAGGGAGTTGGGCGGCGGGGTAGGACGAGGTTGGGTTGTGGGAAATGCGTCCTCCTCATGCTCACTCGCCGTCGTTCTCTTTGTTTCAGGAAAAAAAGGCTCTTCTGGACGAGGTAAGCAAGTCCGTTTCACCAATTCCAAAATATGTGTTGTTACTTTAGAGTAAAGTCACTGAGGGGATGTCTAAACATGCATCAAGTCCTTGTTTTGTGAGTTCAGACCCAAGCCCAGTGCGAAGTATGAACCCTTGGTGACAGAGGCATCGTATAAATATTTGGGTGACTTCCCACGTCGAGACGCCCTCCCTTTACTCACTCCTTCCACCATTTCTGCTGACCATTAGTTCTGGGTTGAGCAGTCAGGCAAGTGACGGCCACTCAGGCCGGCAAGTGGCTTCGGCCCTGTCTGACGCCGTGGGGGCTGCCGGCCCCGCACGCGAAGGCCTGGAGGCCCCTGGAGTGGGGGCGTGTGAGCGGGCCTCACAGGCCATGTAAGAACTTGCCAGCCTGGGAGAGAGAAGGGCACCCCGGGCAGGGCTGGCAGGAAGAGGAGCAGCAGGCCCACGTGCCTGGCGCGGGGGCAGTGGAGCGGGTGAGAGTGGGCGTTGGCACAGACATCACACTTGGGAGCGGCAGCCCTGACGGAGGACTGATGGAACCGCGGACCGTGCCGCTCTGAGCCTTGACCGCTCCAGTGAGGGGCTAAAGAGCAAAGACTTGAGTCTGTGGAGCCCTGGAGGCCTCCCAGCTGCCCCTCCCACGGGCTCCCTTTGGGCAGCGTGTGTTTCCATGTGGACCACAGGAGAGGCCACAGCCTCCGACCCTTAGGCGTGGGCGCTAAGCTGCCAGGTTCTCCCTCTGACTTCTCCCTGCCCCGATGTACTCTCAGGGCGGGATCAGCATCTGTGCCTTCAAGCAGCCGGGGCGTCCAGCTCCCGCAGGGCTGACCTGGGATTAGAGGACTGGGTGCGAGTTGCACCTGCACCACCCACTGTCCCTTTAACTCTGGGCACGTCATTCGCTTGTCCGCAAGTATGCGCTGGGCTCCTGTGAGGGGGGCTCACGACCAACCTGCCAGACGCAGCTCCAGACTTCACGGACTTCATGCTGCCCCGTCCAGACAGTCGGCACACCAGTGCGGTCCGCAAGCTGCAGACGTGGCAGCCGGCTGCAGAAGTGGCTTCGGCCCTGTCTGTGGTGCCATGGGGGCTGCCGGCCCTACACGCAAAGGCCTGCCGTGAGGATGTGGGCACCTCTGCCCAGGTCGTGCCCACGTGCTCACCCTGCAGGCAGTGAGGGGGTGGTGGCACCTGATGGCCAGGTCGGGACTGTGAGCGCACCACTCGTGCAGTGAGGGGGTGTTGGCCTCTGATGCCCAGGTCATGGCCACGCAGACGCCCTTTGTGAGCAGGCTGCCGGGCTATCCCCAGCCCCCACGCCACCTTTTTAAGAAGGGCTCCCTGCTGACCGTGGCTCTGTCCTCAGCCTCCGGCCCTGCAGCACTTCGGGGCCACTCGGTGCTGGCCTCGTGGTCCCTAGACCTGCTTCCATCAGGGAGTCCTGCAATCTCCCCACTCCTCCTCCTCCCCAGCCACCCTAGGTCCTCCTCAGTCTGCAGTGACAGCTTCACACCTCACGCTTTATGCCCGTCTCTCCTGGCTTCTGGCTGTGTCGACCACAGTTCTCAGGCCCTGCGTCGCCGAGGTCTGACTCCTCGCCTTCCCGTCCTTGCCACCCAGCACGGCCTGTCTAGCTCAACTCCCCAGACTCCTTACTAGCTGTGACGCCAAGCATTTGTTCCCCTTCAGCGTTGTACGTGATGACATCACTGCTTGTCTCTCCCATGGGAAAATGAGCTTCAGGAGGCAGACATCTGTGTCTTTATGTCTAGTCCTAGACTCAGGCCTGGCCTTTGGGAAACATCTGGCAAGTCCTGTGTCAGTGAACGAGTGAATGAATGAATTGGAACTTTTCCATGTACTACACAACATGTACGAAGGGGACCCCAAGAAAACCCGGAGTTTTTTTGGAGGGTGAGCCCCAGGTCATACACTTAGTTCGCTTCTCCAGGTCAAACTGTTAATCAAGGCTTTTATCTGGAAGTGTTGAGAAGGCTGCCTCATTTATGGAAGAGACATCCTGAGTTGTGGCATGCAGGCGGCTGGCTCTTCGTCCATGACCACACACCTGCCCGCACCGTGCTGCGTGTTCTGCAGCGCTGACCCAGAATGGCACGGCCCCCATGCCTCGCCCGCCCCTGTCCACCTGGTCTGGCCCTGAGCAGTTTGCTTTGCTTCCCCGGATACAAAGGCTTCAGAGGGAAACGTTTGCCGATGTGGAAGAGGCGAAACAAAAGGCAGCAGAAGCACTAAAAGGCATCAAAACCGACGAGTCCAAAAACTGCTCTGAGCCGTGGAAAAAGCATCTCAGCAGGTTTATCGCATCAAACGGAGAGTACTCTGAAGGGGACTGAAGTTTAAACATGTAAGAATAAGTGACCAGCCGGGCTCGGTGGCTCAGCCCATCATTCCGCGCCTTGGGAGGCTGAGGTGAGTGGATAGCCTGAGCCCGCGGGTTCGAGACCCGCCTGGGCCGCGAGACCTCATCTCTACAATCAATCAAAAAATCAGCCGGGCGAGGTAGTGTGTGCCTGTAATTCCGGCTGCTCGGAAGGCTGAGGCGGAAGGATCGCTGGAGCCCGGCAGGTCGAGGCTGCGGTGGCCGAGGATGGCTGGGAGCGGCCAACGCGCTCCAGTCTGGGTGACAGAGTGAGACTCCAGCTCAAAAAAAAACAAAAACAAGAATAAGTGATCATTTTTCTAAGTGAATTCCAGTTTTTTGGGGTCCCCCTTTGTAGAAACCAGACAGCAGGTGCCACCTCAGGTCCTGCTGCTCCTCTTCCATGCCCCTATGCCCCCTGTGCATCTCTGAATAAAGATGACACCGACGCTGGCTTGCGGGGCCGTGGGGAGGGTGGGACCCGACAGTGTGTGCACAGCATGTGACTGGACAGAGACACCCTCCTTTCTGTCCAGTTCTTGTGGGTGTCATTTCAGCAGGTGTCACTCCACCTGCTAGCTGGCCTGTCACTGGTGGCAGTTTCACCAGAGCTGAAAATCACTGCACTTTTTGTGGGTTATTTGTCCTTAATGACTGATGTCTCTGCTTCCTTTATGCATGTTTCTTAACCCTGTGTCTGTGACATTTCCTTCACTTGCTTCAAGACAAAGCAAAGGTGTTTTCTTTTCAGACAGTTGGTCTGGAGATGGCGAGGCCTCTGAATCGTGTGTGGGGCTCTGTGGGCATGCTGGTCACTCTCCTGATGTGTCAAGAGTTGTGAACTGTGAGAGCCAACCGGGGCGGGGCAGATCACTCAGGAAGAGTGCTCCCTGAACCAGAGCCAATCTTGTTCTCACATGTCTAAACTATTGTCACCTTCAAAGTACTCTCTGTTTGATGCAATACATCTATAAAGATGCTTTTTCCACTGCTCAAAACAGTCTTTGAACTCGTCGATTTTGATGTCTTCCAGTGCTCCTGCTGTTTTTTGTTTCACCACTGTCCCCGTCAGCAGCTCGTTCAGGAAGGGTACTCCCTAAACAGCTAACCAGGACAGGGCAGATTGCTCAGAAAGAGTGCTCCCTCAACTGGGCAGGACAGATCACTGGGAAGGAGTGCTTCCTAAACCAGCACTAACCAGGGCAGGGAAGATCGCTTGGGAAGAGCAGATCGCTTGGGAAGCGTGCTCTTAAACCAGAGTTAACCAGGACAGGACAGATTGCTTGGGAAGAGAACTCCCTAAATCAGATTTAACCAGGACTGGGCAGATCATGTGGAAAGAGTTTTCCCTCAACCAGGGCTAAACTGGACAGGGACGATCGCTCGGGAAGAGTGTTCCCTAAACTAGAACTAACCAGGACAGAGCAGATCACTTGGGAAGAATGCTCTCTAAACAAGTGCTCCCTAACAAGAGTTAAACCAGGCAGGGCAGATCGCTTGGGAAGAGTGCTCCCTAAACAAGAGCTCACAAGAGCTGGGCATATAACTTGGGAAGAGTACTCACTAAACCAGAGCTAGCCAGGGCAGAGCAGACCACTCGAGATGAGTGCTCCCTAAATAATTGTTCCCTAAACAAGAGCTAAACCCAACATGGCTGATTAGTCAGGAAGAGTGCTCCCTAAACCAGAGTGTAGATTCCAGGACTCCTGGTGTGCCACGCACATTTCTTAATAAGCCATCTAAGACTAAGGTCAAAGGATAAACAGTTCCTTACGATCACTCTGAGATCTTGTCCCATGCTGCTTGATTTCAGAAGACGTAGGTTGAAAGTAGGAACAGAATGAACAAATCCAACATGGAGTAAGCTATCCCACGTGAAAACCTAACTGCACATAAATCATAGACTGACATTCACAACCGAACAAGACCGTATTACACAGGGGGCCTGTTTCTGTCCCAAGACTGTTTTCTGTGCCTCAGGCATCTGTGCCTTTTCCCCCTCGAGGACTGGCTTATTTCTCACAGTGGGGGATTGGGTGTGTGGAAGAGGGCTCTGTCGGAGACTGGTACACAGCCATCAAGGCGTCATCTGCCCCTCGCCGCCCTGGTCTCTGTGCTCCCACCCGTCTTCTCCCAGGGCACTCACCGCTTTCTCCCCTTTCCCTGCCAGGCGGCTGTGGTGCTCCAGGCAGCCTTCAGGGGGCACCTGGCACGGGCGAAGCTCATACCAAGCAGAGCGTGTGTCTCCGAGCCTCCTGGCCTGCCAGGCCTTCCAGACCAGGTAACCGTCGAGCGGCGGGACATGGGCCTGGGGTTCTCTCACTGCTTTTCTTGTGCTCCACCGAGAAAGCACAGGGCGCTTTTCTGTCTTCCAGTCTTCGCTTGCTTTGCCCGTCTGGTGTCCCTTGACCTCCACCCTGCCCGAGCAAGCCAGGCCTCTGTGTCTCCAGGCAGGCCCTGGATGGTGTTGCTCTGGAAGCCAGATTGCTTGGGGTCCTGGGAATCGAGCATCTGTTACAGTGAAGACATAACTGAAAACTAACACCGACGGGCACTTTCTGTGCCAGACCCCCCTTGTCAATAGATGAGGTGTTTGAGAATCTCTGGAGTTTATGCATTTAAAACCTGTAGTCAGGAGGTTGCCGACTAACCAGCCGTAATGGGTGGGGCGGGAAGGGGACCCTTCCTGGCTCACCGGTGCCCAGGGCACACACTCTGGAAGCCAGCAGAGGGCTGCAAACAGTTGTCTCTCCTGCTGTCATCGTGCCCAGAGCTCTCCCACAGCCTGCGTTCCAAGCCCCGTCGGCCAGGCCGAGGGCAGCCCCGAACAAGAGGAGGCCGCCACCATCATCCAGTCAGTCCTCCGGGCACACCTGGCGCGGGCCCGGCACAGGTGAGTCAGGGTCATGGGCACGTCTGCAGCCTGTGTCGGGAGGGCACCGGGCACAGACGTGCATGGGCAGCCACCCCCTGCAGTCAGCCCGGCCCGCCACGTGCGGGGTGTGTTGCGCCAAGCCTGCAAGAGCTGGGACCGTGGCCTGGAGCCGGAGTCTGGTGGCACCTCTTGGAAAACCCGGCTGTGCCTCAGACAGACATGGAGGGGCTGCCAGTCCTGATCCCCGGGAGGAGGCCTTTCTAGAGCGGCTCTCCATGCCGGGAGAAAGCGGGTAGGAGGGCTTGATGGGCCAGCTGCTGGCTTGTGCTGACCCACGGCCCTCTTTCGAGAAAGGAGTAGCGTTGGGCCCGCTGGGGAGGTGGTCGGAGGCCTTCCACAGCAGTGTGTGGTGGTGCTGACACCCCTGCCCATCTTCTGGTGCATCCGTCAGGATCTTCGGTTGCAAACTCAGAAGCCCTTCAGTCCACATGTGCAGAGGGCGGGATTTATAGTAAGGGGAAGAGATGGTCCCAGGCAGGAGCCCTCCTCCCGTCTGCCATCTGCTTCCCACTGCAGGCAGGCTTGTTCTCCCACTTGCCGTGGCCGCTCTGCTGCTTGCACACCTGTTAGAGGGTGGCAGCCGCCCCGCACGTCCAGGTCTGCAGTTTCTGCCAGGCCGAGTATGTACCTCACCGTCCTGATCCCACATGCCTGGTACAGGCAAGGGCTCAGATGAGTTGGGGGTGCAGCCTGGGCAATCACAGTGGCCAGGAGGTAGAGAGCTGTGTGTGCGGCCCGTGACCATGTCCACCAGGAATGGGGTAGCTGGCCCTGCCCAGGGCCAGAGGGGGAGGAAGCCATCTGGCACCAGCCCGTAAGACTGTACCAGGCTGGCCTCAGCAAGTGCCCCAAGATGGACAGAGGCACGTCTGCAGCTCTTCACAGCCAACTTGTTTCAGGGCCCTGGGCATGTGCTGGGTACGAAGCTGGCCACATGTTTGCTTTCATTAAGACAGTTGTCTCCAGGAAGATTAGTGAGTCCTGCCAGAGGCCTGAGAGAGGTTTGTATCTTTTAAAGTCAGAATCAGCTGGAGTTTTTCTTTTCTCCAGTGCGACCAGTGAAAGAACCACCTCTGCAACCTCTAAGAGAAGATCTGCCACACACAAAGAAGCCTCTTCTCCACCCTACCTTGCAGCTTCTCCAGGTAATTCGTTCATGCTGCATTCTGACATGAGGGCGGTTGGCCCACCGAGGCTGAAGCCGACAGAGTGGCTACCTTCCAGAAACTTGGGCATGGAGGGGTGTAAAGGGAGTTTGTCCTGCCCGCAGCTGCCTCCAAATAAGTAACTCTTTACACCAGGAACCCTTGACCGGGCCCCCTTGTCCCAGTTTGTCCCTTGTCCCTGGGAAGAGGGGAGAGAGAAGAGCCCCAAGGACCTCCTTAATACTGGGGGTGGGGGGAGTTCTCATGCCAGCAGCCTCTAGGCCACATGGGCTGAACGTCACAGCTACTGTGCCTGGTATGTATTCCCAGCTCCAGCTGGAACTGGGTGTCTTTCCTCCTTTGAGCTAGTGTTTCTCTCATTGTTTGCTTGCTTGTTTAGTAAAACTTTACTTGCGTTTCCTTTTCTGCTTCGTTGATGCCCAAAAACACTCTGTGAGGAACCCCTGGGACTGCAGGATGCCTCACCTGGTTGTGAGGCCCCATTCCTGCCCCACTGACACTGAGGTGTGACCCTGCAGTCCCTGCCTTGCCCTGGGCATCAGCTTCTCATGTGGGGAACAGAGACAGGCAGGCTAGATGGCTTCAGAGTCACTCTTGGCCCCAGAGTCTCTGCTGCTGTGTGTGTGCCTCAGATGCTTTTTATCTAGTTGCACCCAGAAAAATGTGACACCCTAAAACTGAGGAGGATACAGAGGCACCATGTGAAGTGTGGGACTGTCCCTAGGTAGAGAAATGCAGGCTCGAGGTCTTATTTGTGCATTATGGGTAGCAGGGTGCTATGTGACCACACTTACCTTGATAGGGAAGTCTCAGACGAAGGGCTTTCTGTACTGAGTCTTCGAGTCTCAGAGATAGAATCGGGGAGGAAGGTGAGCGGGAATAGCAAGGAGAACTACAAAAGGAAGCCAGAGTGCTGGGGGAGAAAGATGGTGGGGAAGGGCGAGAGGCCTGCCTGGGACGGATGCCTCAGTTCGTGTGTCCCTGCAGGTCGGGAGGACAGTGGAGTCAGCAGTGGGGAGGCCGTGGCCGACAAGGACAGGCCAGGGGAGCTGGCAGTCCCCCAGCCCTGCCCCGGTAAGTGTGGGGCCTTCCCAAGGAGTCATCCTCATTCTGTGGCCACGCAGGGCACAGCTTCCGGAAGAAGCGGTGGCGCCACCCCTGCATTAGACCCGGCGGCCCGAACGCCTGGGTCTGGCAGCCCTCCATGCCAGGCTCTGACCCTTCCCTCCCAAGGGCTCCGTGGGATGCTGTGTTTGGGAGAATCTCCTGGAAATCACCACACTGGAAATTGCCTTCTGTGCATTTCAGTGATTTTCCCCTAGCTTTGTGAGAGCCAGAGAACCTTGAACTTTGCTGTTCTCTCCAAAGCGTCCATGTGTAAAGTTCAGCCACAAGATGAGCAGCGCTGGGCTTTCGGGAAGTGTACAGACAGGCAGGGCCCGAGGAGCCGCCACCCGGCCTGGAGCTTTAAGTTGTCCTCCAAACCCCCGTCCACGCTGACTTCCCCAGGCCCCACCCCAGGTGACCTTTAGGTTCTCGGATCAGGGCTGAAGCGCGTGTTTATGCTGCCCTCTCCTCCCTGTGTTCAGCGTAAGTCATTTTGCAGGGCAGACTCAGGGTCCTGTGTAAAGTGCCATCACAGCGTGTGTTAGGTGTTGCGCTTTTGTTGACCAGAGGAAGCATGTCTCTGGAAAGAGTAAGCCACGCACTTGTTTGAGCTGATTGTGTTTTTAAAGGAAAAAAATGAAGCCAACCTTAGAAACCACTGTTTCTAATTTCATAAGGTTCTACTTTAATATTAATTTTCTTGAAAGTTGCAGGAAGAAAGCTGACACAGTTCCAGGGTCTGCAGCACAGTTGAATCATAATTTCCTTCCCTTTCTAAAACCTCAAATCAGCAATTGATTCCTTTTTTACTCACATCTTATGACGCAGTAAGAATCAGGCTCTGCCTAAGCAGCCGGGGCTAGGTGCAGTGGGAACCTGCCCCTTCCTCTGACCATCGCCTGCCCGAGGCGTGCGGCCGCCCATGTCCGCCCAGCCTGCATTCTAGCGTAGATGGAAAGTTCTGAGAAGTCTAGATGTGTGTGTGGAAGGGAGCGTGAGGGAGGCTGACCGCGCAGTTGGAAGACTCAAGGCGAACCATGGCCTTGCCCCATCCGGCCTGCCCAGTGTGGCATGCCCTCTGGAAGGTGGCGTGTCTTACATGCGTGGCCGCCAGCCTCATCCACACATGCGTCCCAGCCACCCGCCCAGTCCCGACTCCTGGGATCTGCTGTGAGAACGACTTTGGGAACCCCTCCAGCACAGACGCACTTCCTCAGTGCTGGCGGACCGCACCACTCACAGGTGTCTTGATTTGGGGGCAGGGCCAAAAGACACAGCTGAGTTTGAAGACTAGGAAAAATGAGAGGGCTCTCTGGCGTGGTGTGTTTCACGCGGAAGGCCCGTCACACGCTGGCTGCTTCTAGCGGTGGCCTCCATCCTGCCTGCCAGGGAAGAGCTGACAGTGTGTCCGTGACCGGCCCCCGTCTGTGGATCTCGTTGCAGAACCGTGTCCCGCAGGGCCGCAGCCCACCGTGCCGCCAGCTGGGGATGACGCCGACTCCGACGACTCCGACGACGTTGTCATCGCTCCGCCTCTGCCCGCACGGAAGAGCGCCCCAGCCTAGGGGCTGTCTCCAAGGGGACGTCGCTGTCTCCAAGGGGTGATGGCACGTGTTCCAATGGACTCAACAGCCAGCCTTGGAAAGAGGCTTTGTCTTGTTAGGAAGAGAACGATTCCTGCTTGACACCTCAATGTCTTCGTCGCTTTCCTCTTTCTTTTTGCATTTTTGTTGGTCTAAGGAGCCTCAGTGCCTTTATTTTATTCCCTGGGGAGGCTCAAGTGGCCCCTTCTGCCTATGGCCGCAGCTCAGATGGTGGCTTTTTTAGCGCCAGCACACACATCCGCCTTGAATCGGGGGGCAGCCAGGGAACCCCGCCAAGACTTTCTCTTACAGCAGCATACAGCCTGCCTGCGACCTTGGCCTATGAGGAGCTGCTGGATCAGGAGCCAGCCAGACACCACCCCCTCCTCATCCTTGTTACGTTGGCACCAGCCAGGATTCTCTTGGATCTTGGTCCTGTAGGTCTTGCTGTGCCTTTGGGAGAAAGGGAGACAGGCTTCCCCCCCTCCCACAGCAGAGTGCAGCTTCCCAAAGCCAGTGAGAAGCTGAAGATACCCAGGTCCCCACTTGAGCTCTAATCCACGCCCCACGCCCTCACCACACAGTCCTTTCTTCTGTTACGCGTCCTACCCCCGGGGCACTGCTCCTGAGAGCTGCCATTCCTAGGAAGGCGTCTGGGTGGAGTTTGGTCACTAGGTGGACTCATATTTTTCTTGAATCCCAAATTATAATCACAAAAGCAGGCCAGGCTTGGTGGCTCAGCCTGTCATCCCAGCACTTCGGGAGGCCGAGGCGAGTGGATTGCCTGAGCCTGTGGGTTCGAGACCCCCCTGGGCAACTTGGTGAGCCAGGCATGGTAGCGCACATCTGTAGTTCCGGCTACTCAGAAGGCCGAGGCGGAAGGATCGCTGGAGCCCAGAAGGTCAACGCCAGGGTGGCCATGAGCGTGCGTGCCACTGCACTCCATCCTGGGCGAAGGAGTGAGACTCCAACTCAGAAAACGATAATAATAGCCACAAAAGCGGGATCACTCTTGCTTTTGATAAGAGCGGCAAGGGAAAGGCTTTCCCCAAGCCCGTGGCAGAGGCTTGAGCCGCTGGGGCGTCACCAGGAGGACGACAAGGCGAGAGGGGCAAGGAGGCAGGCCTGTCGTTCCGAGAGAGAGCAGACCCTCGCGGTGGCAGCACATCTCCCCCGTGTCCGGGAACGGTGCCCCTCATGCTTGCTGTAAGCTGGCCTCTGTGCAGGCCACAGGCTCCACAGCTGGGCGTGCTGGCCCCTCACGGCCGGCAGCAGGAGGCATGTGTATCGGGATCCCGTTAGTGGCTCACAGTTGTGGTCTTGTTTGTGAGATTACAACTGGCGGGTCAAAACGCAGAGCCTCAGACCTGGGCAGAACTCCGGGGGCATCCAGGCCCCGTGTAGCCCAGGTCTGGGATCTGGACCCCTCCAGAAACCCTGCTGGGACTCGAGCATCGCCTCTTTCTCCGGCCAGGTCATCTGTCTGACGTCCAAAAGCTCGTCTTTAGCTGGAACTGTTGAGCCCTCCCGGGGTTCTGCCCACTAGAGGTGGTCTGATCCCCAACGGAGGACCTGGTCTTTTTCAGCAAGGCCTTCTGAGTTCCCCGCGGGGAGGTCAGGCTGAGCTTGGGCCTCCTCCACGGAGGTCGGAAAGCCACTTCAACATGGCAAAGCTTGGGCAGGAAGGGAGGAGCCTCACATGGCCCACCTGCCCATGGGATGATGAGGACCCCAGCCCAGCCTCTCCCAGTCATTCTAGGCTGGGCCATGCCAAGCAAAGACTTGCCTCGCCTTGGAGCCCCTGCCCGGCCCCTTTCTCCATCCCAACTGTTCATGCAGTGGGTGGGAAAAAATTCAGCCAGGGGCCTGGCTTGTTGAGCTTTTTCCCTTACTTGGGTTGCGGGCCGCCAGATCCCTGTCCTTTTTTTTCCCGCTGAATTGATTGGCAACTTGACTGAATTTGTATCGACACAAGCCCTCTGTCGACCCTTCCTCCCCTTCATCCACCTGGGTCTGCCTCTGGAGGTCTGTTCTGTCCTTCCCTGGTTGCCGGGCTCGGAGCCACAGGCCAGTCTACTCACTGAAGCACCAAAGGGTGACAAGGGCGCCTACACATTTGCTGGGGGCAGGAGGGCCCCATTTCTCTGCTGTGGCTGCCCCCTCTCTCTCACTTGAAACAAAGCGTTTCTGCTTTATGTGTTCACTGTTAGGAGCTAGTGGCCTACAGTTCTGTGTCGATGGGAGACACCACCAGGGACATACATCCCTGAAGTTTTCCAAGAAAACGCCCCCCCCCGCCCCAATTGTAAATACGTAAATCTCTCTGTCCTCCTTGGGTGACTGTTGATCTATTAAAAGCCAGCCTTCCCTCTTGAAGCTGCCCTAGTAAACGGCAAAGCTGCACGCCTGTGCCGTCCGCTCCCCAGTGCTGGTCGCCCAGTCGAGCCCTCCCGGTTCGGCCACCCCTCGAGCGCGGCGATGTGGCTTTGTGCGGGACAGAAAGCACCCAGCAGAGGCATGCTTGCGGGGTCCCCAGGGCCTGAGGGCAGGGGCTCCAGCACCGCTGGCCAGGAGGGGAAGAGGAGCCCGTGGAGTCGGGGGCCCCGGGGGAAAGGCAG